TTGTTGTTTTTTTAGAATGAAAAGTTGTGATTACTGTTGAAAATAAATTGTGGTGATATGATTTCTCTACTGCACAGTCTTGTAAAAAAAAAAAACAGCTCAGTGGACAAACTGTCACATTTATATTTTCATCAGCAGTATAATCTCTGAAATATGTTGTTTAGGTAGTCGTTTGGGGACGGCAGTTGCACAACGTTACACTTCTCAGGAAACTTTAGTTTTGAACACCATCCCCAATGGCACAATTATTGGCACCTCTTCCACTCATACTAGTTCAACCTTTTTTTGCCGAAAGCGTTCTGGTAAACAATTATGTGAGAGAGATAATGCTGCTAGCGTAAAATATTAAATTAATAAATATCTTTCATTCTGCTTAACCTGGTGGAGCCAACAGATGTTTGGCACTGCGTGTCTCCCAGAGAAACTCTGAATGAGCTCTGAGAGATGCAGCTTGAGATTAACACTTCTGCTTTGCTTTTTTTCCCCCCCATTTGTTTTTGTTGCAACATGCTTTTAGTTTTTTTTTCTTTTTCCACCTAAACCCAGACTGAAATGGTTTTGACTGCGTTTTCTATTTAGGAGCTGCGGCCGAAAGGAATGGACATCCGTCAGGGCGAGCTGGGAGATCTGGTGGATAAGGAAATGGCAGCAACATCAGCAGCTATTGAGGAGGCTGTACGCAGGATTGATGTAAGCAGTGACGTACCGTAGCGCGCGCTGTTCAAAAATTTTATTTTAAATTGTGCCTTTACTGCAGATAATAATTGTCCTGTGTGGATTTCAATTTAGGAAATGATGAATCAGGCACGGAAAGACACATCAGGGGTAAAACTGGAGGTCAATGAAAGGTTTGTTCTTTTTTTTTTTTTTTTACATATCTAAATTCATCTGTACCACTCGGACATTGGTTTCTAATCATTTTTTAAAATTTTGTGTACATTTTTGTTAAACCCCACTTCTTTTCCCAGAATCCTCTACAGCTGCACTGATCTGATGAAGGTGAGGGTTTTTTTATTTATTATTCTTTTAAACAATGTTCAAACTTGTCATAGACCAACAAGCTTAGTGTGTGTTCTTATTCATGATTCGTGTGAACATATGTTGAGTTTCTTACTCAGTTTCACACGTATCCTCCTTCAGGCCATCCGCATGCTGGTCGTAGCGTCCACAGACTTGCAGAAGGAGATCGTTGAGGGTGGGAGGGTGAGTCACTATTTTCTAAGTTTCCAACTCAAAGTAGACGGCTTATTCGTCGCCGATTAAGATTCAAGTGGTGGCGTTTCATTCAGAAATCTCGTCTAAATGCGTTGATGCGTTTCTCTATAAGGGCGGAGCAAGCATAAGGGAATTCTACGCCAGAAACTCTCGCTGGACCGAGGGACTCATCTCTGCTGCCAAGGCCGTGGGATGGGGAGCCACGGAGTTGGTGTGAGTTCCTGTTTACCGTCTTGTCTTGTTGCCTATTTTGAATTGTGTGAGCAGAAAAGAGGCTGAAGGGGTGATGTAATTTTCATGTTTTTTTCTAATTGTAGAGATTCTGCTGACAAGGTGGTGCTGCACACTGGTAAATATGAGGAGCTGATAGTCTGCTCGCATGAGATCGCTGCGAGTACAGCACAGCTGGTCGCTGCCTCAAAGGTAATCATCTAACATCTTAGAAAATATCATGTTCAGGAGGCTTCTACTCCACACCAACATTACCATATAAAGCCAATGTAATGTAATCTTCATAACTTTTAAAAATCTATATTCGGTAGTAAGGTTTGGGAAATGTGTCAATTTAGTCTTCTATCTTGTCCATTAAAAGGCAATTTTTACAACTTTTCCTTTTTGGTTTTGTCTAGACTTGTAGCTCACAAATTATAGATTTATTCCCATGACATGGGTAAATATTTAAGAGGAGGAAAGAACAAGTAGAGCAAAAGGCAGCTGAGAACGTAGCTAGTAACCTAGTGTTACATTTGCTGAACTTGGCTGTCAGAGCATTAATAAGTTCCAGCTTAAGAGAAATGCCTTCACTTTATGAACTCAAATTTATGCTCGAGATTTATATGATGATTTATTCAATGAGGAAGAGGAAGTCAGTAGAAATGTTATTGGAGAACAGTATCAGGCAGACCTGTCAGATCTTTAGGGTGAGTCTTGTCTTCCTGTAATTCACAGCAGTGGTGAGCAACAAATTGTGACCAGAACCATAATTCAAAACACCAAAACGTCCAGGAATAATGACAACATTCAGATTGACCCTGTAGTTTCTGCTGAAGTTTTGACTAGAATTTTACTTTATTCCAAATCCTTTGAACAACCAGGTTACAAGAACGCTTTATATTAGAGGACAATGTGGCTGTGCAAGTGAGACGTTTCACTCATGACTGTTTAACTCAACTGCAGTAATGTAACAACCAAATGTTATTTCATGGACATTGTCAAACTGTTTAAGTTCATTTTCAGTTAATTTTCTCCATCAATTTGCTCAGACAGAAAAAATATGTGGCTACAGCTAATTGTCATTGTTAAACAAATAACCATTTATTTAACAATGCTCATTTATTCACCTTTTTCTTTTTTTTTTCTTTTTTACTTTCATACTTCATTTATGGAAATCTGATTTGAAATTTGCTAAATGTTAGTACGGCAAAAAACCTTTTGGTTTTCAAAATAATTTAGCTTCAATCTGATCTGACTTTTTTCAACAACATCTGGAATAAAAAAAAAACTATTCGTTAAAAATAGAAATCTGATTGTTAGCTTTCGACAGATTATTGTCAAATTCAAAGTTCTATGTGGAAAATCTAATCTGCCTGCCAGCTGGCTCATTGTGCAGGACTTGTTCTGAAAAGGAAAACTCATGTTTATTCTTAGCTGAGGGCCGTGTCAGAAGACAATCTGATCAAATGACCTGATAAAAATAATTTGGGTAATGAACTCGTATCTAAACGGGGCTCTGGTGAGAGAGAAGTAAAGTCTACGAAATGTTTTAACGTAAGATTGGATTTTCTGCTCTCAACCCATCAAGCTGCCTTTCTAAGTTGGAGTTCATGGAAAAAAAAAAAAAAAAAAAAAAAACCCTTACAACATGGCCGGTTTCCAGATAATCAAACATGACATTTTTTTTTTTTAAACGGAAAACCCAAAAGATTTCTCTAAACCTGCTCTGTTCACGCTGATCTCCTTGTTTCCTCTCAGGTCAAGGCCGACCGCAGCAGCAAGAGGCTGGGCGTTCTCCAGCAGGCCTCTCGTCACGTCAACGAGATGGCTGCTAAAGTCGTGGCCTCAACAAAGACGGGACAGGAAAACCTGGAAGACAAAGGTGGGTGCACATTTACTTGTGTAGAAGATCAGCAGACGTATTGGTTGATTTCTAACCCTTAATATGCTTCATTCGAACAGATCCCATGGACTTCTCTGGGATGTCTCTTATCAAGTTGAAAAAAGAAGAAATGGAGTCACAGGTAAGCAGTGTTGCTAACCATGACTTGCTGTTCCACAAACTGTATTGAAGGTGATCGATTGAAAAGTCTGACTGAATACTTCAATGGAAAATTTCAGCCATGAACCAACACAATAATTTGTTGATAAAATTAGATAAGAAAAGCTGAGATACAGATTTAACTTTAGAGAAAAACCGAATGCGTCGAACATTAGTTACAAACAACAGCGTGTGTGTCTCGATCCTTTAGGTGAAAGTGCTGGAACTGGAAACTCAGCTGGGGAACGAGCGTTTGCGTCTGGGTGAGCTCAGGAAGAAACACTACGACTTAGCCGGCGTTCCTATGGAGCAAGTTTCTGAGCGAAACGGCGACACGCCGTCACCTGTTCAGCAGCCCCGTCCTCTCAACATGTCCCCCAAGCCCAGCAAGCCTCCCCTCGGGAGGAAACCCATGCTCTCCCAAAAACCCAACATACCATCGAAACCAGGGGTAATAAAAACTAAAGTCAGTCAAAAATAAGAAAATGGAACACGACTTGAAATTAAAAGTTTCTTCTTTTTCATGTTGCAGTTCAAGTAAATGCAGAGGATGGCAAAGCTTCACTGCAGGATGACCGGATTTAGAGAAGAAATATTTGGCCTTTTTTGTGAATTTCCAGCTATACTGACAATCCAGTGTCAACCTTCTTCTCAACGTTTTCCTTTATTTTTATTCTACCTTTCATTCCTTGTTTGCCAAAACGGCCCTCCTGCCTGTTTCCTTGTTTTTTACTCTTAATGCCTGTAGGGACTGCCCTGTTTTTCCTTTATATTTTCCATGTTTGATATTAAGAACATTTTATTTTAGGCATTTTTTAAAAATTCTGTATTACTAATAACTTAAAAATTAAAACTACTGCTACCTTTTTATGTGGAATGCAAACACAAATCGGCCACATATCCTGTTGATGAACAGTTGAATTTAATCAAGTTTATGGCAGCCTTATTGCACACTTTTAGATCACATCTTTCTCTCTTTTTTTTTTGCTATACTCTGTTCTGTATTATTTATATTGTGATAGTGGTGAAAGGAGACTGGGGAATGACTTGGTGTGTGTTCATGTTGTTGCAGAAGTATGATATACCTCTAGTTTTGCCTTTTTGTGCAAATTTGCAGTTTTTTTCCCCCCCTGAACTGAACAAGATTGTATCAGAGGCCTTGAATAATACTTCATAGATGCATTAAATGTTGCCTGTAAAGATTTGCAGTCTGTACAAGAGACTGCTACTTACACTACATTTATCTCACGAATGTCCCTTTACAAGAGGAGAGCAGAGATACTGTGTTAAAGCATAGACAGACCTAAAGCTTGCACACTATGTATCAGCTGTAGATGTCCTATTATCAAACGCTTCTTGCAGGCTGAATATATAAATTTAGGGTTAGTTGATGAGCAACTTTAAGGCGTCTCTGAGTGTTTCCTGCAGGGTCTTAAAATGCATCCTCTCCTCTTTAAGAATGTCTTTTTACTCAGATCTATTAATGTATATATATATTTTAGTAAAGATACTGGTGTGTTTTTTTTCCTTGTAAGAAGTGTAAATGTCACTCAAACAATAAATGTTTGATTTAATTTGGTCTTGTGTTGCTTCATTAATAAAATACCATTTACAAACTTGGGAAGCTTTTGGGGGTATAATTTAGTAAATAGTTTCAGCAGAAATATGCTTTCAAAAATCAATATGAACTTATTTTCAGTTACTGAATGAAATACCAAATGTTCCTTTGTCTAAAAGGAGGATAGACCACTGAAAAATAGTCCAACCTTTTGAATAATACCAAAGAAGCTGACTTGTCAGTCTTTTAAATATGGGTCAACTGCATTCTATAAATTCGAATATGCTTTGTTGAGGCTTGTTTGTTGAATTAAAAGTAACAAAAATAAGAAAAAAGGATAAGCAAGCATCTGTTTTAATCGAGTCTATGTTTCTGTATTAAAATGTTTTTTTATTGGTGTGATGTTCTAATCTTTATGTTTTCATTAGCTGTTAGTGGAAAATCATAAATAACAGAAATGGCTCGAAAATAGCCATGTAGAATTAACCTAAATAATGTAATTTCACTTAGTGAATTGGGTTACTGAAATAAACTTTTGCGTCTGGAGGACGTAATTGTTGGGCTTCCATGAAGTATCAAATGTTTTTTTTAATCTATGTTTTTTATTTCTTTATTTTGTTTTTAATCTGCTTTAAACAGATCCTTTAATCGCTATATTTGACTGGATGGTTTTATAAATGGTAAGTTTTTGCGTACTGCATGCGAAATCATCCGCATGTGGTGGTTGGGCATAGAAGGTTGCGTATGCACGTCTTGACATGCGCAGTAGTGCTTTGTATATAACTTGAAGGAGGAATGGTGTCTTCAAAAGCCGTTGAAAAAACGACAACTTCTATAAATTACACAGCGCCTGTGATCGAGAAAGCACACACTGCTATTACCTTTAATCTACTTTAGTTTTATGTTTTATTATGTTGCTTATAGTAATATTAATCCACTGTTCCCTTGTGAAGTGGATGGTTTTTGAAATTAAATTATTACTTGCACAAACAGAACTTCACCGTTTAGCTTGATTGAATAAGAAGAGCCATAAAATATATGCTAATATACTTTATTCATTGACTTATTTTGAATTGAGAAGGGGGTAAGTGTGTGCCACAGCACTTTGATAGGTGGAATCTTAAATTTCCGAGTTTTCGGTTTGACCCGAAGGCAGCATCAGCGTTAGAGCAGCACCGCAGACGTTGGTCAGGTTTAAACTGTCAACAAACTCCAACAGGTTTCCTCGGCGTTCAGACACGCCTCAGCGTGCTTCCGTAAACTCATTATTTCCACTCTTAATGTGAGCCTGTTGAAAGCTTTGAGGTTAGCAGAGATATGCTGGATTTCGAGGGTGTAATTAAAGAACCAGGGACAGACAGAGACCCACGTTATGTCAGCGCTGGACAGACCCGCGGCGGAGCTCACCGTCATGGACGTGTACGACATCGCAGCGGTGCTGGGCCAGGAGTTTGAGCGGGTCATAGACAAGTTCGGGTGCGAGTGCCTGGTTGGGGTGGTTCCCCGAGTGGTGCGGGTTCTGGAGTTTCTGGAGGCACTTGTGGGCCGCGGAGCAGCTGGTCAGGAGGCAGAGGAGCTGCGCAGGGAGCTGGACAGGCTGCAGCGGGAGCGGAGCGACAGATACGAGCAGGAGAAGAAGCACCAGAAGGTCAGTGCAGAGAATCCGCATCGACTTGACGGGCTCTTCGCTCTGCAGAAGGTTCACACGTTGTCCCGCCACAACCTCAAACTCCAATGGACTTCATTGGAGTTTGAG